AGGGGGGGAGTAGGTTCAAATTTAGATATTTGTATAGAGATGTATATATGCGAGTAGTGACAGTAATGGTTATGGTGTGTGTGTGTGAGGGTAGGGGTTTCAGATCAAAGATCGTTTCTATAGTTCTATATCTTTTAGTTTTTACCATTTCACTCTATTCTTTATCCTTTGATCTCTATTATATTTGTCCTAAACATGCGTGACATATTTGCCACTGGACATAAGGCAACCAAAAGTCAATCAACGTATTCTGTATATTTCATCATTTCTTTATTATGTTATCTATAGGTTTGGTCCCGCCCCTTATCTATTTTTCTGCACATTAGGGACGACATCAAAAGTTCAATGTAGGATAAAAAAAACTTAATTCATATAGTTTTTTTCACTGACCCCCTACCCCCCCCCCCCCTCTTAATTTGGGAAAAATTGATTGACCAATAAGGATATATATAAAATCGATGTTAATTAAACAAAACTTGCAGCAATTTTGACCCCCCCCCCCCCCCCCCCAAAAAAAAAAAAAAAAACTATTTGAATTAAGTTTTTTATCCTTCATTGATTTTCTGATGTCGTCCCTTATCCTCTCTATGTAAACCCAATTCATGTCCTGATAGATGGTGACTCATGCATAGCATCATATGTGGTTATAAAAACAAGAAACATATTCATATTATAATAATTAATGTATGCTAGGACTTATAGATAGATGTCATTAGTGCCAGGTCATGTAATAAAGTAGGTCTTATAAAAATACAATAGCTTTTTAATTTTGATGATTATATATTTAATAATGCCATTTTTTTGGAAAAAAGGGTAGGGGCAAGGCGTTTTTAAAACATATCAATGGGGCGCGTTTTTTTTTTTTTTTTGTTCTTCGGAAGTGAGCCAGAAGAAGTCCATTTCTGTTTTTTTTTTTTTTTTGCATTGGGAAGATCTTCTGGCTCTCTTCCACCTCTTCTTTTTTGATAGGTTGACGGCAGAGGCACATAACAAACATGGCGTCGTTTAGTCTAAATGAAATTAATAAATTTATGATTGCAGATATATTAGAATGTGAGCTGTTTTATAAATGTTTTTATGGTATGACAGCCTTAGTAGGACATCCCTGTAGGACGATAAGCTGGATAAATATAAGAACTACACGGACAATAACAGTTAAGGGACGATTATTTGATATTCTAGGGAAGGGATTTTGATTGATTGGTCTATTCCGTGGTGGTCAGTTTAAATTTATAGATAAAGGATGGGGAAGGGAAGAGAGGGCATTATTATTCATTTCAATCTGTCGCTAATCATGCCTATTTTTCAGCTCTTACCAGGCAACCATATTCATATATGAAATCCTTCTGTCCCCCACCCCAACAAATAAATAAATATCAAATGGTTTTCCTCTTATTTAACACAAGTTTAAATTGATTGATTGTTTGTTGCTAATTTTAACGCCTAGTGAAAATTATTTCATGCTTGTTCCGGAAAACACGAGTTTAGAAGTCACGTATATAATATAAAAATGAAGAGATGGAATATGATTGCTAATAAGGCAACTATCCACCGGAGTTCAAATATGAAGTGGATGTAAGCAATTATAGATAAGATAAGATAAGATAAGAAAAAATTATTTTAAGTCGGGTTACATGAAATACTACAAACATAAACTCTGTAGAGCTTGTTGCCGTCATGTAGACAAATGCTTTTTGTAGACAATCGTAAGGCCTTCAACAATGACAAAAACCTGATACTGTAAAGTCGTCTATTAAAGGCCCGACATGAAAAGTGTGAACAATTCAAACGAAAAAACTAACAGCCTAATTATACATAACAAAACAGTTTACAAAATAAATATCAAATATGAGTCGAGACAGGAACCAACGACAACCACTAAACTACAGGCTCCATCCCTTGGACAGGCAAATAAAGAATATGGCAGGGTGGATATAAAAACGAAGATGTGGTATGATTGCAAATGAGACAACTCTCCACAAGAGATCAAATGACACAGAAATCAACAGCTATAAGTCACCGTACGGCCTTCGACAATAAGCAAAGCCTACACCGCATAGTCAGCTATAAAAGGCCCCGAAATTAAAAAATGTAAAACAATTCAATCGAGAAAACTAACGACCGAATTAATGTACAAAAAAATGAACGAAACACAAATATGTATAACAAAGCAACAAACGGCAACCACTGAATTACAGGCTCCTGACTTGGGACAAGCACATACATACAGAATGTGGCGGGGTTAAACATGTTAGCGGGATCCCAATCCTCCCCCTAATCTGGGACAGCGGTGTAACAGTACAACAACATGTTTGTGAGCAACCCATCCCGAAGCTGGGACAGTGGTGTAACAGTACAATAAAATAACAACCTGCACAAATCAGCAAATTAACTCAAAAGATCGGTACGAGACACACAAAAAACTAAATAAATAAATCCATTCAAATAAAAAAAATATTGCATTTTCAATGAAGAAATATACCAATTAAATAAGAAATATTGCATTTAAATGAAAAATATCAAATTTTTGCAACCAATACCATGCCATACATAAGTTTAAATTTTTTTTGATAATTTTTGCAACTTTATTTGTGGACAATTTCCAATTGTTGTTCTAAAATTTATTTTTATTTATTTATGTATCGATAGATTATATTGTAATTAAATAATTATTCAAGCATTTTACAATTTATGGAAGCAGAACCCAACATCCAAGCTAAATGCAGTTTATTTAATAAACAAAAAACCAACACAGCAAATCAATACCTATCAGGCCGTTGCGTTTCACGTTTTACATTTTGTCATGTCGGTGCATTTTTATAGCTTACTATAAGGTATGGTGTTTGTTCATTGTCGAAGGCCGCACGGCGACCTTTTTAAAAATCAGAAGATGTGGTATGATTGCCAATGAGCCACCAGAGACCAAATGACATAGAAGTTAACAACTATAGGTCACCGTACGCCCTTCAACAATGCGCAAAACCTATACCGCATAGTCAGCTATAAAAGTCCCGAAATGACAATAGTAAAACAATTCAAACGAGAAAACTATAGCCCTGAATTGTGTACAAAACAATGAACGAAAAACGAATATGATATACAACAACAAACGACAACCACTGAACTACAGGCTCCTGACTTGGGACAGGCACATACATAATGTGGCGGGGTTAAACATGTCTGCGGGCGTCCAATCTTTCCATAAACTGGGACAGTGGTGTAACAGCACAAAATATGAACAAACTATAAAAATCAGTTGAAAAGGGCTTAACTCATCAGATCGATACAAAGCATAAAAACAAGTAACAAAAGCACAGACAGGACGTGGCAGGGTATATATATACATCCCTACAACAAAATAGACACTAAGTACAGGTCTGAGAGTACTCGCAGTTACTGACAGCTAGTTCAAAGCCAATAACAACTAATAAAAAAATTATGCAATCATGTATCTAAGACTAAAGTATCAATCAGTACACATCCAATAGATTTAGTGCAAAGACGTCATTAACAGTCAAAGAAAAACTTGACCTCGTGCAATGCCAAATACAGGTATCGATAGATTATAGAACCGTGAATGTGCATATGTATATGTATATAACAATAGTATTAGTATAGTTCCTTTCACATTTATAGGTGTATATGGCAATCATATCATGATTATAATATCTTTTTTTTTATATTGAAGATTATTTTATGTTATATCGTTCCGAAAAGAGCGAGAAATAATCTGCTGTAGATACTAGTAGTAAACCAAACAATGATATATTTAATCAAAAACAAAGAAAGGGGCGTTGACACCAGTGTAACTTGGTTTCAAAATTACTGACATATAGTTCTGTCAGTCGTCAGACCAATGAAAAGTTGATTCGTGATTGATGAATGATGCCATTCGAACGCATAAGACTTCAAATTTTGATGAGATACTAATCGTACAGAACAGTTAGTATTTGATATAGATAACATGTTCCGCGAAGTTCCGTCAATAAGAATTTTAGAAATCTGTAAACACTCGCGTTGTAAACTGGCACGAAAAGTGCAAAGCTGTAGCTTAGCTACAAGTGGTGACTATGTAGTAGCTTCAATGACAAAACACATGAAACATAATCTGACAGAAAACATTTATTAAGATTCAGATTTAACTGCAGGTCTTTCATAGTTTCAGTTTAATATTTAGATTTATATTGCATAAAAAAAACACCAGTTTGTTGGTGGAGATTGTATGTGTGGTTGTTTTGCTCTCACATTGACGTATACCCACATCTCTTGAAGATATGCAACAACGAAATAAAACTTCGAAATGTTGTATATTTCTATTCGTACAGGAGAGAATAGAACTAGACAGAAAAAAAAAATTCTCACGACACTGAGGAAGAAACAAGAAATTTTATTTTATTATGATTTTGGCAATGAATTATGGGAAAATAGAGAACTTAGGTTAGATGGTTAATCTCCATACACTCTTTACTGTCTGATCCAGGACAAACCATCTCTATCGCCTATACCATCGTCGCCTCCACAATTCCACAAATATGTTGGACACAAGATAGTTTAAAGAATAAGATAGAACCACATAAGTTACATTTTAAATTACATTATCGTATAGATACAATGAAATGCATTGTAAAAATTCGATATTTGTTTTGAATTACAGGAAAATTCTAACGAGAATAGCAAGCAACCATCAATACAAAGACCACTTCAGATAAGTATGATTTAACCAGCAACCGTGTCATAAGTTTCATCTTAATTTCTCGACCTTATCACATATCATGAAGCTTGAAAAAAAGTCATCTATTCCAGCGGCTCATCTTTACACACCATTCATTACACAGCGAATTAGCTAGAAAAAAAAAACACAAAAACGAATTGATTTAGACAATAAATAAACTTTATTCTTAGAAGATGAAAAAAACCGGATCACATCATGTCCTGGTCGAACCTTCTGTACGTAAGACTTATTAGATGCACACGTGATCAAGAAAACTTGATCAGAATAATAATGTTCATAAACATTGTTGTTTTTCGCTAAGTTACATATGTACACATAGTCGTGTTCCATAATTACAATATGTCTGCATGGAAAACTGTTTGTATAATTGTCTTCATATTTGTTGTTGTGACAGAGGCTAAAGTTAAACGACGTAAGTACATTTCTTATTTTACTTCAGTTTTCATTTTAAATTGAAACATTACTATTTAAAAAAATACAGATTTGATATTTATTTTATATACAGTGAGAAAATCATATCAGAACATAAACTGTTCCTTTCATCTTAAAATTATTTGTGTGCATAACATTTCAGTAAATAAAATTCAACGTTGAGCGCAGCATAATGATAACAAGGAGCCTGTAATGCAATGGTTGCCGTTGGTTGGTATGGCATGGTATTGGTTGCAAAAATTTGATATTTTTCATTTAAATGCAATATTTCTTATTTAACTGGTATTTTTCTTCATTTAAATGCAATATTTTTTTATTTGAATGGTATATTTTTTCAATTAAATTCAATATTTTTTATTCAAATGGTATAATTTTTCATTCAAATGGTATGATTTTCATTCAAATGCAATAGTTTTTATTCAATTGGTATAAAATGTCATTTAATTGCAATATTTTCTATTCAATTGGTATAGCAGTCTTTTTATTTATATGCAATAATTGCATTATGGGAAATTCTTTGACGTCATAAGGTCAAATTTGCAACAACGTTTGTGATTGGTCGGAAATTGTTTGGATTTCTCCCCTTTCTTTCTAAACATGGGTGACCAATAATTAAAAAACGCGTCAGAATATCGCCCCTCTAACTAAATCTAACGTTCGTGCGAGTCCTGCACTGGCTGTTTAATCTTGTGGTCATAACTAGTATTTCTATTGCAAAATTTCGATGGTCAAAACGTTCGGTCCACTTTTCAAAAACCGTTTCATTGTATATGGATTTATATGCAAGTATATCGGTTTTTTTTTAAATAGATTAGACACCGTTGGTTTTCCCGTTTGAATGGTTTTACACTACTAATTATTTGGGGGCCCTTTATAGCTTGCTGTTCGGTTAGAGCCAAGGCTCCGTGTTGAAGACCGTACGTTGCCCTTTAATGGTTTACATTTACAATTTATGACTTGGATGGAGAGTTGTCTCATCGGCACTCATACCACATCTTCTTATATCTATATACAACGTAAACCAGACGTTTCTCAGACTGTTTTCTTTTTTTAATAAATCCATTGCCGCGCGTTGTGTACTGATTGATAACTCAGTCTGGGAGAACAAGATTTATTTCAGTACCAGTTGTAATTAGGTTTGAGCAAACTTCCAGTAATTGCAAATACTCTTATGTCGGTGCTTTGTGTCTATTGTCTTAATGTTAGTTTTTTTGTGTGTCTCGTACCGATCTTTTGAGTTAATTTGCTGATTTGTGCAGGTTGTTATTCTATTGTACTGTTACACCACTGTCCCAGCTTCGGGATAGTGCTCACAAACATGTTGTTGTACTGTTTCGCCGCTGTCCCAGATTAGGAGGAGGATTGGGATCCTGCTAACATGTTTAACCCCGTCACATTATGTATGTATGTGCTTGTCCCAAGTCAGGAGCCTGTAATTCAGTGGTTGCCGTTTGTTACTTTGTTATACATATTTGTGTTTCGTTCATTTTTTTGTACATTAATTCGGCCGTTAGTTTTCTCGATTGCATTGTTTTACATTTTTGATTTCGGGGCCTTTTATAGCTGACTATGCGGTGTTGGCTTTGTTTATTGTCGAAGGCCGTACGGTGACTTATAGCTGTTGATTTCTGTGTCATTTGATCTCTTGTGGAGAGTTGTCTCATTTGCAATCTTCGTTTTTATATCCACCCTGCCATATTCTTTATTTGCCTGTCCCAGGGGTGGAGCCTGTAGTTTAGTGGTTGTCGTTGGTTCCTGTCTCGACTCATATTTGATATTTTGTAAATTGTTTTGTTATGTATAATTAGGCTGTTAGTTTTTTCGTTTGAATTGTTCACACTTTTCATGTCGGGCCTTTTATAGACGACTTTACAGTATCAGGTTTTTGTCATTGTTGAAGGCCTTACGATTGTCTACAAAAAGCATTTGTCTACATGACGGCAAAAAGCTCTACAGAGCTAATGTTTGTAGTATTTCATGTAACCCGACTTAAAATAAATTTTTCTTATCTTATCTTATCTTATCTTATCTATAATTGCTTACATCCACTTCATATTTGAACTCCGGTGGATAGTTGCCTTATTAGCAATCATATTCCATCTCTTCATTTTTATATTATATACGTGACTTCTAAACTCGTGTTTTCCTGAACAAACATGAAATAATTTTCACTGGGCGTTAAAATTAGCAACAAACAATCAATCAATTTAAACTTGTGTTAAATAAGAGGAAAACCATTTGATATTTATTTATTTGTTGGGGTGGGGGACAGAGGGATTTCATATATGAATGTGGTTGCCTGGTAAGAGCTGAAAAATAGGCATGATTAGCGACAGATTGAAATGAATAATAATGCCCTCTCTTCCCTTCCCCATCCTTCATCTATAAATTTAAACTGACCACCACGGAATAGCCCAATAGTGTTGAAAGAAGCGTTAAACACCAATCAATCAAAATCCCTTCCCTAGAATATCAAATAATCGTCCCTTAACTGTTATTATCCGTGTAGTTCTTATATTTATCCAGCTTATCGTCCTACAGGGATGTCCTACTAAGGCTGTCAAACCATGAAAACGTTTATAAAACAGCTCACATTCTAATAAATCTGCATTCATAAATTTATTAATTTCATTTAGACTAAACGACGCCCTGTTTGTTATGTGCCTCTGCCGTCAACCTATCAAAAAAGAAGAGGTGGAAGAGAGCCAGAAGATCTTCCTAATGCAAAAAAACAACCCAGAAATAGACTTCTTCTGGCTCACTTCCGAAGAACAAAAAAAAAACGGGGGGGGGGGGGGGGGGGGGGGGGGGGGGGGGTAGGGGGTCAGTGAAAAAAAACTATATTAATTAAGTTTTTTTTTATCCTACATTGAACTTTTGATGTCGTCCCTAATGTGCAAAAAAATAGATAAGGGGCGGGACCAAACCTATAGATAACATAATAAAGAAATGACGAAATATACAGTATACGTTGGTTGACTTTTGGTTGCCTTATGTCCAGTGGCAAATATGTCACGCATGTTTAGGACAAATATAATAGAGATCAAAGGAAAAAGAATAGAGTGAAATGGTAAAAACTAAAAGATATAGAATTATAGAAACGATCTTTGATCTGAAACCCCTACCCTCACACACACACCATATCCATTACTGCCAATACTCGCATATCATACATCTCTATACAAATATCTAAATTTGAACCTACTCACCCCCCATCAAGACACCGAGGTTTCGGATCCGTCCATGTTAAATGTGTCTAATTATATACACTTTGTACGGATCTAGATAATAGCTAAACGTACAATCATATAATTTGTTGGATACCTAATTATATTATGTAATGTGTCACAAAATAAACTTGTATACCCCCTTCCCAATGCAGAATTGAAAAGTAAATCATTTAAAAGTCCTGAAGATAAAATATGTTTTGAAATATGCCCTGCATACTTATTTATGCAAAGACATATAGTAATTATTGAACTACTGTGGGGCTTGAAAAAAAATCTATTTAAGGGATTCGGAGACGAGAACAGTAAAAAAAAAAGCTCAGCAACGAATCCTAAATGTAAAATGATTTGCAGCATACGACATGAGAGCACATATTATACATAGTATTAAATATGAAGTTCACGCCTCGTATAGTGAAGTCCTATGTCATAGGACTATTGTTGTAACATGGGTTAGTAACTGGTTCCAATTTATCCTGAATTGTCTTTATTAAAGAATTAGTTCCGGAGTATAACAGCTTATGTCTCTACTTGTGGGTTTCTGGTACTGCTGTCGTAATTAGGTGATTTTTTTTCTACATGTAGTAAAAAAGAGAGGGCTTAGTCCAAATAATTGTAACGTCCTGGATGCTTTTTATTCTTTTTTCATGTGTGCCTTCCTGCAACGTCTCTGAGGATCAAGAAAAGTAAAAAAATGATCTAGCACTAAAGAACGTCATGATTACATGTATCTGGACTTAGAAGGGGGAGGGGGGCTAGCTATGTATTTTTTTTTATTTCAATGTGTAGACTGTAGGAGAGTTTCTTCAGAAAAGGTTTTCATTGGAGGTGTTTATGCCATGCACGCAGGCATCTGTTTCTATCCATGAACAAGTTGTGTGTCAAATTAATTATTATTACTTGTCACTTGCATTTTTTGCTCGTCCTGGCCATTATTGGCATTAACAGCCAGTGCACGAACTCGCACGAACGCCAAATTTAGTTAGAGGGGCGATATTCTGACGCGTTTTTTAATTCTTGGTCACTCAAGTTTAGATTGATTGATTGTTGGTTGCTTAACGTCCAGTGGCCTCAAGTTTAGAAAGAAAGGGGAGAAATCCAAACAATTACCGACCAATCACAAACGTTGTTGCAAATTTGACCTTATGACGTCAAAGAATTTGCCATAATGCAATTATTGCATATAAATAAAAAACTACTATACCAATTGAAATAAAAAATATTGCATTCAAATGACATTTTATACCAATTGAATAAAAAATATTGCATTTGAACGAAAATTATACCATTTGAATAAAAATTATACCATTTGAATGAAAAATTATACCATCTGAATAAAAAATATTGCATTTAAATGAAAAAATATACCATTCAAATAAAAAAATATTGCATTTAAATGAAGAAATATACCAATTAAATAAGAAATAGTGCATTTAAATGGAAAATATCAAATTTTTGCAACCAATACCATGCCATAGGTTGGAGTCTATAGTATTTGTGTTTTTGTTTATTTTTTTGCACATAAATCGTTGGTTTTCTCGTTTGAATTATTTTACATTTTGTCACATTGGTGCCTTTTATAGCTTACTATATATACGGTATGGATTTTCCTGACTGTTGAAGGCTTTACGGTTCGCGATAGTTGCCTAACTCTACATCATTTGCTAATTGGTCTCTGGTGGATAGTTGACTCATTGGCAATCATACAACATCTTCTTTTAATAATCTTGTTGACGTGAGAAAGTTTGTAGTA